CGGCTTCAGGGTTTCAAAATCGATTTCAATTTCTTCCGGATTGAAACCCGGCAGCTGCTCTCTCGATTCGATTATGCTCACAACCTGAAAAAAAGAAAAAGCGCTTTTTTTTTATATCAAATCACATTAACAAAGGGGAAATTTTTTTTCCAATAAATGGAATGCTGTTTCGTCTATTCACCTAAGTCAAGTATGGACCATCACAGCCCAACTACGAATGTGTATTATAAATCTCCGCACCTCCAAATGCAAAAAGAGCAAATTTTGAGCAATTCAACCTTTGAATCCAAACAATCTATTAAGGCAAGCCAAGAAAGTAATTTGGCAAAGTGTGAGCACATCAGGGAAAGTTCAAAATTCTAGGCGTCTATGCAAAACAAGGCTGAGTAATCGGGTGCAAAACCAAAATTCCCCCCCCCCCCTCTTCGGGCAGTCAATTTTAACTTTTTTCCCTGACCGATAATCTTCTTGGCACCATAGGACCAACAAAAAAATACGGCAAAATTATTAGTAATAAAAAAAATATGAAAAAAGCATACACTGCTCAGCTTGTCGCCAGGTAATTTATTGATATCAAGCGAGAGCTGTCGTTTCTCGTCATAGCTCATCGGTAGGGCGCTTCGCTCGTCTTCCGAATCGAACTCGTAATCCTCGCGTATCCGTCGTACCAGAGATGTTCGGGGCACAATATCTGGTGGTGCTGCTGCACCGGATTGTGCTGCATCTGTTTTCGGCTTATTTTTCGAGCCTGGCTGTCTGCCACGTTTCCGACCACCACCAACTGCTGCTGCTGCCGGTGCAGCCGCTGCTGCCATCGGCTGAGGAACCGTAGTTGAAGTTTGTTCGGCGCCTTTCAGCTGTGGTCCTTGTGAGGTCGCGAGTTGTGTTGCAGGGGCTGCTGCTGCTGCAGCGGCGCGCGGCCCTACAACGGCTGCAGCCGGAGGATGTACCGAATTCTGGGCCTGACGTTGCGAAGCCCTGTTCAGGGGGGAATTCACTTCATGCTTCGGCTCACGTTCTTGCGGAGGTGTCGTGTCCATTGCGCTGGCGGTGTTAGCAGAACGTGCTGCTGGTGCTGGAGTTGGCGCCGATGGCGTTTGGTGAGATGCTCGAGCTGGACGGCCTGGCTTC